ATCTGCAAATCATGCAATAGTGTAAATTGTTTTTTCCAGTATGATAATTTGTCAAGCAAATGAAATTTCACATTTATATTGATGGTTATATTACACTGGTTTCACACAATTTGCAAGAAAGGAATGATTTCGTTATTATCTGATTTACTTAAATTATGTAGTCAACCTAACAACGTATTTTCCTAATACTAATTACTTAAATTGATTTAAAAAATTCTAAGGACACATAATGCACATATTTACATATACAAACATTGTCCAACAATTTTAATTTCAAGGTTGATGATATATTTTAAAAAGGTGATCTTGTATGAAGTTTATAAATTGTCATGATTTCTGTAAATTAATTAAAATGTCCCAGTTAATGAATCTATTTTTAAACATTATTAATATTTAGTACTTAATTTTTTCATATCATACATCATGCAAATTTTTAAAAATATATTTGGTAAAGAATTACATTTCAGGAAGAAAATACTGCTTATGAAGAGTTTTGTTACTATGCATTAATCTTTTACATCATTAAGTAAAAACTGCATTCGGGAAAGTGAAGGTTTTCCCCTCAGAAAATTTACATTTTGGCTCTTCTTGTTATATTTTTGTTTACCTTATGGAATAAAGGTACTTCATATAATTAATTCCTCAGGTATAACTATATGTCACACTTTTTCTTGAGACTGTGTACTGACTCCCTGTTCATATTTGATGCACTAGTCATTTATTAAGCAACTACTACTACTAGACTTTGCTGAAGTTGCTTATCAGCGTAAGAAGGTGTTGGGCTGAGACGATGGGGTTTTCTAAATATACAATTCATGTCATCTGCAAACAGAGACAATTTGACTTCCTATTCCTATTGATAAAATTTCATTTTTTAAATGATGATCATTAAAAAGTCAGGAAACAACAGATGCTGGAAAGGATGTGGAGAAATAGGAACACTTTTACACTGTTGGTGGGAGTGTAAATTAGTTCAACCATTGTGGAACACAGTGTGGCGATTCTTCAAGGATCTAGAACTAGAAATACCATTTGACCCAGAAATCCCATTACTACATATATACCCAAAGGATTACAAATCATTCTACAATAAATATACATGCACAGGTATGTTTACTGCAGCACTATTGACAATAGCAAAGACTTGGAACCAAATGGCCATCAATGATAGACTGGATAAAGAAAACGTGGCACATACACACCATGGAATACTATGAAGCCATGAAAAAAGATGAGTTCATGGCCTTTGCAGGTACATGGATGAAGCTGGAAACCATCATTCTCAGCAAACTATCACAGGAACAGAAAACCAAACACCACATGTTCTCACTCATAAGTGGGAGTTAAACAATGAGGACACATGGACACAGGGAGGGGAATATCACACACTGGGACCTGTCAGGGGGTTGGGGGATAGGTGAGGGATAGCTTTAGGAGAAATACGTAATGTAGATGACGGGTTGATGGATGCAGCAAACCACTATGGCATGTGTATACCTATGTAACAAACCTTCACATCCTGCACATGTATCCCAGAACTTCCATTATAATTTTTTTTTAAGTGTGAAATAGGGTAGCAAAAATAAAGGAAAATACCATCAGTCGATTACACATGGGTCATTATGACCCACCAAAATTATCTGTATATCTAAAAAATCACATTTTAGAGTTATTCATCAAGAATGGAGTATATACATGCATGTATGTGTATAAAGGACTGTGTCTGTACATGTATGTGATTTTTTTACATAGTTGAAAGTTATCTCTTTTTCATTGTAAAAACTCTATAATCACTCTCTTACACTTGGTATTTTTGAGGATTAGAATGGTTGTCTTCTTTCTCTACTTCTGAAATTCATACTGGGTTTCTATTGGAAAGCTCAAAGACTATATTCTCTATTAATATTTATTTAAATCAAGATTAATCTTTCTTTTCTTTGTTAAAACACATCAATCATGGCCTCAACTACCACTTCTTTCTTGATAACTCCCAAATCCTTCTTGAACTACAAACTCATTTCCAATCGCTTTTTGTAGATTTCCCCTGATTATTTGGAACAATGGACATTCTGCTTGAACAAACAGCAGCAACCTTAAATTCCAGATCCTTCAAACCAAATACTATAGCCGAACACATTTGCTGAAATTTGGAATTACACCATTGCTATGGTCTAATTCTCCCCTACTCAAGTATTGGAAACTTAATCTCCAATGAATCAGCATTGGAAGACAGGGCCTTTGCCAGGTGTTTAAGTCATTAAGGTTCTGCCCATAAGAGACATTAATAGAGAGAGTCTGTCTCTTTTGCACTTCTTCCTTTCACCGTGTAAGGATGCAGCAAGAAGGTCTTCACTACACACCAGATGCCAGCACCTTGATCTTGGACTTCCCAGCTCCACAACTGTGATAAATAAGTTTCTGTTCTTTATAAATTACCCATTCTCAGATACTCTGTTATAGCAGTGAAAATGGACTAAGATACTTGCTCTAATTATCTTGGGTTATGGTAGTCAATCCACTCAAATCATAACAGCAAGCAACTTCAGTAATAGCTGATTTTCCCCTTTTCTCACTTTATTTAGCCACAGAATCTTGTCAATCTTACTATCAAACTATCTCCTGAAATACACCTTTCTCGTCTCTATTTCTATTGTCATTGTCTTAGTTTATCTGCCACATTTACAGAATTCATTATAGTATTTTTTTGCCATCACAAATTTGATTTTAAATTCCTTGGAAACAATGACTGTACTTTGTCTTTTTTATCTTCCCCTTGATTATAGTAAGTACTTAATTGATTTTATAAGTCAAATCAATCAGTAAATTATTCTGTTGCTTAAATATACAGTAATGTCATATTACAAATCAGATCTAAATTACAAACATTCTATTTTAAGGTGAAGATATTAAAATGCTCCTAAGCCGTTTCTTTAGTTGTTCTTGTTCTGTCTTTAGTTGTTGCAGTGTCTTAAAATATCTTTCACCTACAGAGCATACAATTTGTAAACCTTTCATGCAAATTTTTGACAGGAAATTGACTTAGTTTTACAAACTATTATTCTCAAAAATGGCTCAAATATCCTTACATCCTTAAATCTATTTTATACATAAAATTCTTAGACTAACTTATGTAATTCAAGCCGTTTTCTTTAACAACATTTTATTTAAAAATAACCCACTCAAGACATGGGCTACGTTAAGGTAACAAGTCATTTTTAAAAAGAAATGATTTCTGTTATTACTAAGCTTCAATAAATAATATAAGACCATTAACTACAACATGGTTACATACAAATGAGAGTTAAGATCAACTGAAAGTGTATTTCTCTTTTCTGTGTTCAATTTTATAAATGACCCTGGATTCCCAAAAGAAAGGCAGATATTCTAACTGCTTGCTTGCTTTCAACTCTAATTCTTAAAAGAATGTTGTCAGTTTAAGTGCATAATGTGCAGTAGATAATTCAGTTAGCCTTAATAGAAGAAAGTGACAGCACACAGTCAACTCTATTGATGTGTACACTCTGTAGGAAATCACAGAGGAGCTTTAATCCTTTGAAGTTTGTTTTTAAAACCTACTGCGTTTACAGCTTGGATAAGAGACTTGTCATTTTATTAATGATGAGTGACCAGTTGTCTCTACACATGAAAATAATGCAACATATTAGTAGGAAACAGTTTTGAGACAAAGCAAATGGAAATACGGTCATGTGTCACATCAGAATATTTTGGTCAACGATGAACTGCATATACAATACCAGTCCAATAAGATTATAATACCATAGTTTTACTGTACTTTCCTCTATTTAGGTATACAAATACTTGCCATTGTGCTACAGTCACCTATGATATTCAGTATGGTAATATGCTATACAGGTCTGTAACCTAGGAGCAATAGGCTGTATACCATATAACCTAGGTGTGTAGTAGGCTATATCATCTAGGTTCGTGGAAATACACTCCATGATGTTTGCACAATGAAAAAATCACCTAATGATGTGTTTATCAGAATGTGACCCTGTCATTAAGCTACACATAACTGTATTCATGATTTTAGGAGATAATTAAAGCTCTTAGGATAGCAATTACAAAAGCCCGCATGACAAGGTGAATGTGTGTTGACAGAAAATATTCATATTGAAAAAATATATGTATGATCTTCTGTTCAGAACATAGATGCCTGTCATTTTTTTGGAAGGTCACATGTATTCATGAACTGTGTGTAATATGCTAGATTTGTCTCCTTATTACAAGCAACACATGGTGAATGCAGTTAATATAAACTATTTTCAATGTAAATGCATTCTCTATAGAATTTTCTAGGTTTAAAAAAGAAATGTGTAAGGTATTTTTTTCTCTTTGGCTTCAACAAGCCATCAAAAGGGTGTTAAAACCTGAAATACATAAAGGAGAGAAAGTTAGGTAAAATAATTTAAAAGCTTCCTTAAGTTTTTCCCATCAAATTTCCTCTTGCTAAATAATAAACTTCAACATTGTAATAAAGTTTAGGACTACTATACTTTAGAAAATCCCAAATATAAGAACTGTCAGAAATATATAAATAACTAAAATGAGCCACTTATCACATGTTATAAAACTGACATTTAGGATGATTTCAAAGGCATGACCTCAGCTAATCCTGAAGAAAAATATATACTTTTTTTTGATGTCAGTTCCACTCTGCCACATCTTTTCTAAGAGGTATCTTTATCCATAGATATTTCCTCTGTATCCTCTTGTTACACGATATGATTACCTGTGTATTGCTGCCCTGATATAATGCAAAATCAAGATAACAACTTATATAGAATAAAGGTAAATCACTGAAATGATATGAATTGAGATTAACAATTCTAAAAGAAACATTGACCACATGGTAATTTGCATGATCACTGTTACAAGCAGGAGATGAGCAGCAGATGGAGTCACAAGGGTCACCTACTGGCATGGTAGGAGAAGCCCGGCCTTTCTTACTACATTTTCCTTAATGATTTATCTTTTCTGCTGCTTGGAGTAAGGAACGCACTGTAGTATCCTAGTATCCTAATTTCCGTCTGCTGAAAAGTAATGACAGGTAAATTTTTTGTTGTTGACTTTCTAGGGCGAAATCAGACACTGCTATTTTAAAACATATAATTGCATATAGATAGATGGAGAGTTATGTGGGGGGAGAGAGAGAGACAGAATGGAATAGACAGACAAATAAATTAATTGCAAAGATGAGCAGCTTCTCTCTCTCTCTCTCTCTCTTTCCTACTCTCTATCTTCCTGAAATACATGCACACATATACACAACCCACATGTGCACACAGACAAATACTGAATATTAGAAGTCCATGGCAAATGTAAATTGACTTGCAGAACTTCCTAAACACAAATACCTCAGACCTCACCCCACACACACACAAAATTAATCCATCTATCTGGGATCAGACATGGTTGTCTTCGATTATCTAGGATTGTTTTTACTCCGACTACCGTTTTATTAGAAATAGTGCTGTACATGGACTGACTATAAACTATGATATGATTATTTGCAGGGAATTAAAGAAGGCTTTACTTTACAAAAGGTTGACTATAAGTTTCCTTTAAAGGACAAATCTTTGGGTGAATTCTAGTTCATTTAAGTGGGAAAAATTTTGATTTACAGAGAATTTTTATACTACTGAATAAATAAACATATACTGGTACCATTTTTGTATGACATAGCTTCTCATTTTGATCACTCTTTGACTCTATTCTAACGCAATGAAAATTTTAATTTGTCAGGGCATGTCACTTCTCTCCTCAAAGCTGTGCAATGTCTGCACATTTCCCTGGAGTAAACACCAGAGAGAATGTATTGGCCCAGTGATCCCTGACTTCTTTGATACCATGTCCTAACTGCTCTGTTCACTTTACTCCACCCACTCTTGGCTCCTGCTCAGAGAACTTACCAAATACATTTCTGCCTTGGGGTCTTTGTACTAGTTTCCTCTTTGCCAGTTTTGCCCTAGACATCCACTTAAGCAGAATTTCACTCTTTCCAGTTTTGCCCAGCCTCCTTCTCTTGTGAGAACAGAGAGCCTCCTATTTAATATTTCAGCCTAGTCACCCACCCCTAGCACTTTCCAAACCTCATACTCTGCTTTCCTTTTTCTTTAGCCCATCAACTTTTCATTTCCTCTCTACCTTACCTATTTAGAAACTTAAGGCTCATTCTCTGTCCCTCTATGTGAACTTGTAAACCCCACGAAGTAAGTGATCGTGGCCAGTTATATTCAACAGTGTATGCCAAAAGCCTAGAGCAGTGCATGGCACACAGAATAAATTAATTATTGATTTAGAATAACTAAATCAAATTTATTTTAATACTTTATAGTATAAACATCTTCAGTTCACGAATATAAACTACAGTAATTTACAACAAATGCTTTACATGGGACGCTTTTACCTATTACCTCCTCAGAGTCCTGGTCCACTGAAGCTCATTATACCCCACCTGCAGAAATTAGCATGAAGTTGAGTTTCTACACCAATGTCACACAGGGTCTTACTACTTTGGAATTATTGGTTGTTATGGTACCTTTCTTAAAATTATCAGTAAGCGATTGACATATGTCTGTCTCCCTAAGTCAAATGCTCAGAAAATTTACATGGTGAGTCATAAATCAGCTCCAAAATGAGAACGTGATAAAGAATATTTACAGGAGCAATCAAATTTCTTTTCTTGAGAACTCTAAATTTGAATAATGTCAGAGTAACGAAATTGCAAGAATGTGATTTTATTGTGAACCCTCTCAACAGTCACCAAAAACGACTAAAATGCAAATAATATGCAGTTATTTATTTATGAAATTTAGAGAGAGAGACAGAGAGAGAGAGAGAGACAGAGAAGAATCCATAGAACAGAAAATAATATCTAATTATTGATTTATTGCTATATGTCCCAGAGTGGTTAAAGGGAAAAGCCGAAACAGTATTTTATGGTGTTTCAATCTTTTAGATGCCCCATTGATCTTTTTTCCTTCTTAGCATCAAGCCTTCCATCTATAGAAAGGAGAGAGTAGAGCGTGCTTTCCAGGAAATAACTCAGGAATTGACTAAGTCCTGGGTTTTAACTGTTGCAACTGAATGTGATATTTGTAGTAAAGTTGTGGGGAAAAAATATGCACATGTAGGTGAATGTCCAGCTAAAATTCAAACCTGAAACATCGGAAGGGAGAGATAAACGAAAGGTTATATGTAAGACAAGAGAAAGAACAAAAAAGTAGGAGATGAACTAAGAACTGACTTCTAGACTCATTGTCAATTTAAATGCTGGTAACCCCTTTACTGTTTTCACCTACAGTCATTTGCAAAATCTAGTTTGTGTTTTTCTGTTAACACTAAGCTTAGGAAATGGAATTATTCCTCTGCTTTTACTGGAAATGCTATCAATTAAAGCTCACGAACAGCTCCACACAATATATAAAATTAATGCAAATGAGAAAAACATATATATGTATGTACAGATATCATAGAAAATGAAATGCAGGAACAGTATGAAAAGAGAAGGTGATGTCCTTATAAAGCTAACAGGATAGTCTGTGCTATAATGACATAAACAAAAAGTAATCACAAAAAAACTGCAAAGAAAAACTGCCAGTAAAAGTTCCAAATTGATATTAAAAACTGTAATGGAAAAGAAAATACAGAATACAGTAAATTCTTGTGCGTGAAGTCTCAGGTTCTTTATAGTCTCTTACAGGCAAGAAAAAAATAACTCCTTTAAAGAAAATTTGCTAAGCCTACATCAGAGTTGGAAAGGACAAAAGTTAGCAAATTTATGTGGGAAGAAAAGATCGTAGAAATTTTGAAAGTGAGCACATTAAGCAAGGCCTTCAGAGACTAAATGTTATAAGCAGTGCAATGTGAAAATTATTGTATTGCTCTTTATAGCAGTGAAAACCATTTACCACCCACCATGTCATTTTTGATGCAGAATCACACTTTGCCTTGTTCTTTTTGACTCAAAAATAATTATCCCCTGTGTTTGTTACAGTAATAAAGATAATAATAATTTGCTCTTATAGCATACTTTTCCTTCTAAGTTTAAGCACTTTAGAGCAAACTATTTCTCTCATCTTTATAAGATCCCTGCAAAGTAGGTATATAGAGATAAATGGCCATAAAAGATGAATAAAGGAAAATATTTTAACCTGGAGAGTTGGATTCTTATTCATCTTGGTTGTCTGAGCCGGAGAAATGGAGTTTGCATCATGAATATAGACTTGAAATTCTCAAAAGATTCCAAATATTTTTTCCTTGATCTTTGAGGTAAATGGTGAACATTTTTATTGCTTGAAATTTCATCCTGACTTAAATTGAGATATAGTGTCAAATTTTCTATCTAATGGCATTTTACTGAAAGAATAAAAATACATTTACCTCAAAGGATTTTGGCATTGCTAGTAGTATTGTCCATACTTTAAAAATACCGGCTCATTTAATATGCACGTGTTTCCTCATTATAGTAAGTTTCATGTGTTAATCAAGGCCAAGAATTAATAGATGTTTATAGCTGATGATTGTTAGGTATATTGCATTTAACTATTTCCAAGGAACTCATAAGTACGAGATCCTTTATAGGCAATGTCAAGTCGTCTCTAATCAACACACAAAAAAAATGTTTTGCTGCTGTCTTTCAAAAATAATAATTAAAGATTAATTCTGTTGACCCTAAAATGGAAGTTTGATTAATATATCCTGATGCCTAAATAACTTAGATGCATTTTCTAAGATTTAAAATAAAGTTTCAAGTTCATTCACAAGTTCAAAACCTTGGGAATATGTTCAAATATGTGAAAAATCCAAAATTTAGTTGAATTTGCTAAATCTTTTTTTGTTTTATCTTGTGAAATATAATAAATCCTATTGTTTGTCTCCTATAAGTTAAAATAAGAGTAATCACTAGCTGATTTATATTTATAAATGCTGTAAATTTGTTTTTTAAAATGTATCATTTCTAGCCAAAAAATTGAAGTTATATATTTTTTTTAACTCTTTTGAACTGATGTATTATTTGTGCTGAAACACTTTGTATCATTATCATTATAATCCAGACAAATGGTTTTAAGAATATCAGAATAAAGTATTTACATGTATGTTTACTTATCATGGCTTCATAAAGAAATAAATTCAAAAATTAAGGTTATTTCCAGATTAGCAGCATGAAATGTACATTTTGCAAAATGCCATACACTGTTTTGCATATTAGACACTGTTACAGCTCTCTTACCAAACAATATTCATTATTCCCGTGCTGCCAACTCTATCAATTACATTGGATGGTGAAAAGAAACCCAGGTCTTCTCATGATGATATAGAAATGGGTACAACCGTATTCTAAAGTAAGGGAACAAAAAAGCAGTTGGAAAGTACAGTAAAACAAACGGGTTACATTCATTCTTTTTTTTGTACAATTGATTGACTCTTTTTTGAAAACCTTTAAATTTTAATATCTTTAATATTTTTGCCCTGTGTTTTCAATTCCATGTGGTAACATCAGGTAAATAGGTAGACAAATAGATGATGGATAGATAGACAGATAGATTAACGGATGGATACTCATGGTGGGGTAGGAAGTGGGGAAGTAGGGAGAGAGGGAAGAGAGGGAAACAGGGAGAGATAAAAAGGGCATACAATTTAATCTGAGGAGACATAGTAGAAGACTGTTCCATCATCCTTATTTTATAAATTAGAAAACTGAAGCTCCGAATAATTAAGCATATTGCCCAACATTACACAGCTAGTGTGTAGTGGAGTCAGAACTGTGTGCTGATCTGGAAAGCATGATGACTGATGAATAGATTCATGTTTAGATTATTGCTCACACTGAATACGAATAGCAATCACTATGTGTGTCAGGATTGAAGATCCACTGCTTATTTTCATACATTTGTAAGTCATAGAAAAATAAAACAATATAAGAAAGGGGGATTCTAATTTAATTTAACGAAAAATAAAACTAGAGATGTATACATTTTAAATTCTTGAAGATTAATAGTATATATTTGTAACTAAACATTTTCAAATAAATTTATTAACATTTTCTGTTTTATTTTGGATATAAAATTACTCATTTGCCATCAAACAAATTGTTTGGAAAGAAATTATATCTTTTTGTTAGTTTTTCTCATTTTCACCATCTGAATATTCGGTTTTAGAACTTTACAATACCTTTTCTCATTGTTGAGTCTAATTAATTGTAAACTTCTCTCTTACTGTTAATTTAAACTATCTATGATCACACAGATGGTGGGGTTACTTTACACTGTGATGCCTCCATTGCCATATATGCACTGTTTCCCTTTCATTGCATAATAGTGGGCTAATAAAGTTCATAAGTGGGGAGCATCAGGCTAATATATGGTGTATTAGCCAAGATTCCTGGGTGAGATCATCGACTAAATCTACCCAAGTAATAGTGTAACCCATATGTAGATTTTACAAATACTGAAAATTGATAAAATTAGCCTCATGTTAGAGAAATTGCAAAGAAAACTATTTGCCTGGTAGTATCATAGCTTTCATGTCCTTAAAAGCATTTGTTTCTAAGCTCAACTATTCTAAAATAGCAGACGTAATGCCTCTATTTCCAAATCTTAAAAAAAAAAAAAATCAGTCAATTGTTTGGCTTCACATATTAGAGTTGTTAACTAGATTCAACTTTCAGATTTTGAGATGATGTCTTTGATGATAATAAATTAACACCTGGGTTTTATGTCTTGCAGACAGAAATATATTCATATTCCAAAAACAAAGCAACGATCTCAATACCAATAGGCAAATGTCTTAGGGAGTTATTTTTTATATAGTCATTCTTTCTGGATATAAACACATTCTCAAGTTACCAACAATTCATAAATTATGTATGTCACAGAGCTAAAATTAGGCAACAGTCTAGAGTGGTAGATCCTATAATCTAACCATTATGATAAATGGACATGATTGTATTATAAAGGATGTCTGTGTTATTGAATATACAGCATGAAGACATAAAAGCTTATCTTTCAAAATAATTCTAAGTTTCAAATCAAAGAGAAAATTATGGACTTGACTCTATTAAAAAATTCTAGTGCCGGTGACTTGACATCCAATGAAGTGTTGTGTTTAAAATTATGTGAAATAAGAACAATAAAAATATAAAAATTTGATGTGGCTTCAGTTATGTCAAGGTTCTTATTTAACTCTGGGCTTCATGAAGTCTGCTCTGTTTATGGACAAAGCTTTCTGGCAAGTGAGATGGCAACTAAATGGTAAATATGGTGTTCTTTGTAGAAAGCCTTATTATCATCGACCAACTATATAGTTTATGTGCTCATCACATCATGGCACAGATGAAAATCAACATTTCAAAGAGCCAGAGTCATTGTTCTCTGATGTTGCCCAGTTCAGACCATCATTCAAGCAAAAGAAACGAGACAGCTTAAGGGGTTCAACAATTTTCAACATCAGAGTCGATTCCAAAGATGGTGTCTGCTCTAACAAAGATCTGGACGTCATTTTAGCCAGTGCACTGATTGTACTCAAAGAGCCACAATGCTGCCCTCAGCTGTGGCTATGAGATAAGAATTCCTGGTTAATAAGAACAGTTCTAGGACAGGCATAAATGAGATTACAAGACAGAGGCCCAAGTTGTGCCAAAACTCAAGCTGACGGTTTTGTCTTCAGCTGTCACAGATGGGATGGCTTAAAACATTGCATACCACATCATCTTTAAAAAATTGTGAGAAAAAAAAAGGTTTTCAAGGACAAAATGTTTTAAAATGACGGAGAATTTGGACTTAGAGAAAAAGACCAGAGAACTAAACCTATTACAAAACTGGCACATTACAGTGCAGGATTTTGGCAGGACATATTTATAACAGATTTCATGTAGAGGATAGAATCCAAAAACTACTCCTCCCCTAATTATGAACTGAATTTGCCCCTCTTTAAAAAAAAAAAAAAAAACAGAAAAAGAAATAAAAAATAACTTTATTTTTGGATTACATGGAAATTTGAAAGAAATCAGCCCAGCAGGATAGATTACCAACTGGAAAATTTGGAAGGAATGTATGGTCTGGGATTTCAGGCTCCAAGCTGGTGGACTCCGTATTTGTCACAGAGGTTAGTTCTGTCTCCAAAGGGGAGCCAGGCATACTGTACAAGAGTACCCCCTGTTGGTTGATTGGCCAGAGAACATTGGCAGTGCCTGCTGTGGCAGCTGCTCATTTAAACTTCTACCCTGAAATTTGCTGAAAAGAAAGCAAGGAAGATTTGAGAGAAGGGGCAGGGAGGAAGGAAGCAGGAAGGATACTGTAACAAGGGAAGGCAGGGATGGGATTTTTCTTTCATTCTTTTGTTAAGGTCAAAAAATAAAGGAGATTATGAAAGATAAGGGACAACACTGTGAATAAATCGCATTGAAAGGCATTAAATCATTGTGAAAGCCAACGTGTTCAGACTATGGCTTTTGTTACCATAATTGTACCTTCGAATTCTTACAGTGCAAGTCAAATTATCACCCTTCTCCAAAACAGTTTGGCCAAGTGAGTCAGAGGTCATAGAATATATTTTTATGCACAAAGACAATAATATTATTTTATATTTCTCAGCAATTCAAGGAGGGTTGGAAAAATTCCTCACCCTTTTCAACACTCAATGAATGTTAAAAAGCAAGCTGAAAATGAACAGAATTCTAAGATAAGTACAGCTACCCATGAAAAACATGGCTGTGACCACAAGATAATTCTCCATTGGACCTGGCACTTTTGGTCAGTCTGAAGCTGAATCAGATATAAAAGAAGACCTTGAAAGAAATAATAATAATAATAATAAAAACAGAAAAAAAAACAAAATAACTCCATGGTGTGTGCTTACTGATACCCTCTGGAGTCTAGTCCTGCTGTTTTAATTTCAGCAGTAACATGTAATTGTAATGAAAATAATTCTATCATAAGAAATCTAAACAGTGCTGTGCTGAGATGGAGCATTAGCAAATGCTGGTAGAGTCTGAGTCAGATTTGCTGTAATCTTTACAGAGAGGATACACTGGGGTTCTAAAAGGTTAATGAACCACTTGTGGTAGACCTTTCCTTCACATTTTAACTCTGTTTTATTCCTGATAGAACCATTAACTTCTACACTAACCTTTCTACTTGTTACTATTACACACATTCTAGCCACTAAAGCTTTCTATTGATTTTTGCCAGTGAGGTTTTATAAAATGTAGCTTTAAATACATGGTTTCTGCAATTGTGTTAGCATCAGCCAGTGTGTGTGAAGACAAAGATTAATTCTCTGGTTTTAATTATTTTTTTTATATTGTCATTCAAGTACTCTTTTTTCACGACTGTTTTTCATGAGGAATTTTCTGCAAAGTTTTCGCATTGATGCTTTTTAAATTTTCTGGAAAACACAGTTTTAGTTCTTATTGTAAATGATATGTTTAACCTAAATATGCTAGAAGGTACATAACTTTATTTTCCTATTGTTTGATAGAAGTTTCCAAACATTTCGGTTACTGTGCGTGTGTATGTGTGTGTGTGTGTGTGTGTGTGTTTTGGAGTGGGAGATTAGAAACAACAGAAGAAAACAATGTATATAAGTAGACATACAAATAATTACATCATGGTAATTTTTGTTTTGAAGCCCACATGATTTGCTAAAATGAATGCATGAGATTCTTAAATAAAAATATTCGAGGCTAAATTTGGATATGTGAAAATCATGTCAAAAGTACAAATTTAGTATACCTCAAATAAGAATACACCAACGAAGAGTTAGCTTTGTTATTTTAGTATATGTTTTCTCCTTTATTTTGATAATGTTTATTTGGTTTTATTGTTTTTCTTATTTTAAATATCATCTTGCGAAAATAATATACTTCTTCTAAAATACTTTCCATCAATTATTTGTTCAATAAAGATATTATCTTCTAATTTAAAGGAAGTAGCATACTAAAGTAGCAGGTAACAACAAAAAAAAATATTAATCCACATGCAGTATTATCTTATCCCTGAATCAAAGAACAAGCATTGTTTCCAATATTTCACTAATTCAAACTAATTTTTTAAAAGTTATCCTATAAAAAATATCCCATGGTTAAACTTCAGGGCAGAGAAGTACTTGATAAATAGATACTAGCATAATGACTACTAAAAGAGATTAAAAGGTCTATGTAGACATGGAAAATCACTAATGTCAATTTTTGAAGTTAAGGTAAATCAGGTAAGAAAACCAAATTCTTAAATGTATAGAATTAGACATTTAGATTATTTGGAATAATCTCTCATTCTTTTTTAAAGAAA